CGAGGGTCGGCGGTTGTCAAGAGTCTTTTTGTCATTTTACCTACTATCTGAATGATGTCTTATTAATTTTTGCCAATTTCTTCCATTTTTATTTTTTGAAAATTAATACGGAGTACAAAACAGTAAACATCTATAATAAAATTAAAAAAAATTATGGATGCCTTTCTCACCGCCTGTACTGCCTCCCTACACCACCATCTCCGGCCAGTGTAAAAAAATCCATTTTTATGAAAATGCCAAAAAATGGCATATTATTGCTTGAGAATGTCAAAATTTCATTGAATTTGCCATAAATATGGCATTTCTAATGCATGTGGCACCCCCACCCCCGGTGACCAAAGGTGATGGTGCTGGGACGGTAGATGCGGCGGTGATTTTTTTTATGTGTTTTTTTTAATTTTTTAAAATTTTTTAAATTAGTATTTTTAAATATATTTATTACTTTTAGTTTGGTCGATTGGCCCTTTCTCTCTCTAGGGTGGGATTCCACCGCTAGGGTTTTTTCTCCGCTATCGTTTGTAACGAGGAGCGGCTATCGTTTGCAACTTTTTCTTCTTCTTTTGCTTGGCGAGATTAAGCGGAGGGAAGGAGATTTTTGGTCTCTGGCGGTCGAAGATTGTGCAAGGACGGAAGATAGATGCTTGGTCTCCGGCGGCCAAAGGTCATGGAACAGATCTAGATTCGAGGTCATCTGTGTTAGGTGACGATATTGGAGGCTTGGTAGAGAACATGATGAATAAGAGGCAAGGTGAGGAAGAAGCTACAGTACTGCTGAATCGTCCCCTTCCTGAACCGCCGCCATGGAGTGCAGGAGAGTCTAGAGTTTGGAAACATCTTTTTAATTTTACTTTTTGCTGTGATTTATTTTTCAAGATCGGACTATTTATTTTTCTGCTGGTTACTTTTATTATTGTAAGACTCTTGCATTAGGATTGAGTGATAGGAGGTCTGCTTTAACCGTCTTTGGCTCATGTAAGCTCATTATAGAATCAACGAGTTATATTGCTACTCTGAAGGTGATTGACTCTAAGTCTAGTTCGAGGACTGGCTCTTGTCTGTGGTCCTTATATCGTTTGAACCCCTTTTTGAATGCTAATGTTGTGATATCAATGTAAGCCACCCTCCTCCAAAATAATAATAATACATATATTTATTACTTTTTATTTTGTAATTTTTACTAATTTTTATTTATTTTTATTATTTTATTATGAATTAAAGCATTTCAATAGTTACAAGGGTATATTCGTCCAACACACACATAATTAGTCCTATGAAACATAGTTTATTTTTTGGTCCTATTTGTGTAAATAATTGACCATCTTTTAGTCCTATTTTAATAATTAACTCTTTTATTTATGTTTTGGAGAGTACATTGTATATTCAATGTAGATGTTTAATAGGTTAAAAAAGTAGAGATCTATTCGATGTGTACTTTAAAATTCTAAAAATGTCTATGTCTATCCCCCCGTTCATTTTTATGGACAAACATGGATTGTCAATTTGTCATGAACTTTTAACTCATTCTTAGTACATTAGTACATTATTCTTATCAATTGTCTTTTAATTTCTCTTGACAAAAGATTTTCGTGTACTTTTTTTCGTCTTCTACTGGTCACAAGTGTGCATAGATCCGATTCCAGAACCAATCAGGTTAATGTAATTATTTACCCGATATCACCTACCAGCCCACCGATCCAGGACTCATACCAGATTGGGAGGTTGATCTTGATATGCAAGGATTGCAAATCAAAATCTCTTTTTTTTTTTAAAATTATTTTTTTATGATAAACAAATTAAAATTGAATAAAGAGATCATACATCGATACTGATACACAAGATAAACTTCAATTAAAATGAAAACATTGTTTTTTATACATCATCTTACGAAGAGAATTGTTGGGGTGATATCAATTCGATTATTCAAAAGAAAATTAGGAACAATTTGAAAAACTGTCAATCCAATATCAATTCAGCTATAGAAGTTTTTTTAGAAACGATATGAGAACCGATAATATCATATCATTGTCATTATTGTACGTTATCAGTAAACTACTAAAATATAATTAAACCACTATTACATAACAAATAATATCAAACTAATAAATATTTAACCGTAAACAAGTAAACAACTTTTAACAAGTTTAAAATGAAAACAAAACAATTATTAAGAAGAGAAACTCTATCGTACCTATGGTCGTACCACATTTAGTAATGAATATAACAACTGTGAAATGATAATTATTCTTACTCATTGACTTGTGCAATATAATGGAACATAACAAGAGTGAGTTTGTGGGTCATTCTTCCATTTTTGAGTTTTCTAGTTAATAAAAAATTAAAAATTAAGATGGATCCTTAGACCTGATTTATTCTTTTAGAAATAGGCATTACTATATAATTATGTTTGTTTCATTCATTTTTTAATTGGAATTGTATCCTATCATGTTATATAATCATGTACATAGAATGATACGGAGTACTATAGTTCTTGTTAAAACTTGTGTTTTCAATAAAATTGATAAATACGTAGTAAAATTCATATGCAATCTATATATTTATGAAAATTAATAGAATTCATTCATAGAAGTCTATGTACTTTTTAAATGTCCATTGATAAAAAAAATCACCACAATCCATATAAAAATATCCCGTTCAAGTATAATATAAAAAATGCGCATGAACAATAAATTCCGTTTTATGTCTCAATTTTTTCGTGATGCTACTGAAATATCACTCACGTTGCTACAAATGTAATCACAGTTATCAACAAATGTAACTTGTACATTGGAGTGTGACTTGTGTTACTTTCTCAAACGCTCATTCTCTCACCTTTTATGTATAGAATGTAAATCGCATATATAAATGTAAAATTTAACTTCAAGCAAGTCGCGTATATGCATTTGTAAAATGTGACTTGCTGAGCTAGGCAAGTCAAAATGTAAATCGCGTTAATTGAAATGTAACTTTAGACAAGTCCGATCCAAATGTAAATAACATTAATAGAATTATAATTAGAGGCAAGTCGAAATGTAAATGAAGTTAATGGAAATGTAACTTGAGATAAGTTGAAATGTAAATCAGGTTAAGTAGAAATGTAACTTGAGGCAAGTCGAAATATAACCTGTCTAATACGTATTATAAGATATATATATATATATATATATATATATATATATATATATATATATATATATATATATATATATATATATATATATATATATATATATACCTTGAAGAAATTCTGCAGGTTATCAAATGCAAATAGAAAATTTTATTTTATATTAATAAACTTTAATTTTTAATTGATGGATGAGTAAAAACCTATGTTTATTTTGAAGATGAAGAGAAACAAAATTGTGATTGCATTTTAAATATTTTGATGAAAGGAGAGGAATATAATTCAAGAGGAAAAGAAAAAAGAATAGAAAACCAGGGAAAGAGATAATGAGTGTAGTGAGTGACAAAGAAAAGAATGGATGGCTTGAGAGGAATGATTTGTTGAGTTTTTTTAGACACCGTACCGTATTGGGACCGGTATACTATTTGTATTGTATAACGGTCCCACGATAGAAGTTGTGGTGAGAGACGAATGTATAAAACCATTGAGAAGAGTTGTCATTGACTCTATAAGTGGCACAAGGATGTCGAATAGAGTATTATGAAGAAGATTAATAATTTTGTCATACTTCTCTTTTGTCCCATTTTATTACTATTATCTGTAGTGATTGTGATAAGTTATTTACACTATTTTATAAAAATAACTTCCTAAGTGTTATTTTATCAATAACTAAAATACACTACACACTTTCTTTTTATCTCAAAAATTTTGTCTTGAAACTCGGGTACCGGTTTAGGGTAGATAATAAACTTTTATGAAAGCGTATTTATTTGTGACTAGAAGTGATATCTGGTCTCTAGCCATATTTTTACACTCTTATATCTTATTTCTAAATATCCTTGGTTCTAACAATCTAAAAATTTATTATTCAGAAAATGATTGCTACCCAACGCGATATCAACACCAATTTTAAAAATATGAAAAACTTTGAAGATGCAGAAATGGTAGAATTCCGAATGTGACAGAATGAGATGCAATTTTTGCTTACTACTTTGAAAGTGGTCAACGTGTTAAGCACCCCGAGGCCACCCGAGAAAAAAGAAAATGAGCCTTTGGAAACCAGCCGTCGTTGCATAAAGTGGGATAACGACGACTATGTTTTCCATGAGCATATTATGAACGCTTCATAAATGGAGGAAAGGGTCAATTGAGTACACCAACTTGTATGCGGTGGAGTAAAGAGTACACTATTGCATTTGATTTTTTAAGTACATAAATTCGAGGTTTTAGTGTTATTTGAGTACACTTGTTAGATGAACACATTAGTATAGCTGAGTTGGCTAACATAATGTTAAGTAAGAAGGGGTAATGGACCAAGGTTATGACGTCGACCTTCATGAAGTTGACAAAAAAGGGAAAATCGACCTTCGAAGGTTGACCTGTAGGGGGCATCGGTCAGCAGGGGTGCATCGACCATGGAGAAGTCGACCTGCGGTGAACTGACGTCGACGTAGGGGAAGTCGATCAAGTGGTTGGGGGCTGGCGTTGACCTTCAAGAAGTCGACCTATTAGCATTCTGTTAGCCAACTCAGTCGTATAAAGTATTAATCGTCTAACGAGTATACTCAATTAACACTAAAAACCCGAATTTGCGTACTTAAAAAGACCAAATGCAATATAATGTACTCTTTACTCCACCTCATACAAGTTGATGTACTTAATTGATCCTTACGTCTTCATAAATGGCAAGGAAAGGAAGTGCGTAAACTTTTCAAGACCTTAACTTATATGATTTGTTGAAGACTTGAAGTAATGATGCTGAAAAGTGGTTCTAAATTAACCAGCCATACAAGTGTGTACGTAGTACATGAGTACATCGTAAATTTAATGAGTAAGGCAAGGGCTGCCAAGTAATTAATTTGTTTCATTCTACACATATCAGGGTTTCAAAATGATGCAATTCAACTAAAAAGGAAAAGTTGTGTTATAATGGTAATGTTTTTATTTGGACTTTACAAAGAAATTAAACATTACGCCAGACCAGATCACACCAAACTATCAAACTACTATCCAAGACAATAGAGGGGTTCATGAAGACTCTACATCAACATCGCCCTTCCCGGCAGGGGCCATATGCACGACTGCAGAAGAAGAAAAGCAGAAGATTGACCAGACTCAATCCAGCAAGCACCCAATTGTAGTAGTCATAGTGACCCTTATTTATGTTGCTCGATATCCAGCTCCCACCTTCCAGACCTGTAGTGACCTCATTAACGATGCTCATCAGAAAGCTCGCAAGCATACTCGCCACTGCCATCCCTAGCTCGAGAAAGTTTGACGCTATGCTCCACATGCTTTGCGGGAACTCTGAAATGTAAAACTCATTCTGAGCAACCGCGTTCATTCCCTCTGCAACCCCCCCGATAAGCGAGTGTGGTATGATCCAGAGAACTGACATATCTACAATGCCCCCGGGGGTTTCGGAGAATCCCTCCTTTATAGCCAGGTTCCGCCGGAAAGCCTCAACCAAGGCTGTTGCCACAACAGAAATGAAAGAGAGCAAGATCCCCGACCCCATTCTCGCCACCGGGGTGAAACGGAGACGTCGTCTAATGATTCGATCATCTAACACGAGCCACATTATGATCGAGGCGTATGAGAAGAGACTGATAGAGCCTGTGGGGATTTGAAAGCTAGTAGATGATGACCCAATGTGGCGGTTCATGGTGGTCGCTTGAAGCGTGGAGAAAGCGCCTTGGTTGAAGTTTATGCTCATTACAACTCCAGTGGCCCATATTGGGATTACCTTAAGGCATGCTTTAAGATCCTCTACTTGCTCTACTGTACAAAGACTCCATGGATCAGATGCTTTCCCATTTGGGTTTATGTCTTGTTGGGGATCTTCTATAATGCAAGCCTTATTCAGAAACCTGTAACAATTAATTAGGCCATCAACAGGGTTTTAGATGTGGAGGGACTAAAATCAGAGCTAACCAATTCAGTAAAGTTTCAGGCAAAGTGAACACATGAGATAAAATTTAATATGAGCACAATCTTATTCAATTGTTTGACTACAACTCTTCAACATTTACTCTGTTGCTAGGGCATGCCGTATTTGGTTGCCTTATATGAAAATGACACTTTGATACTCTGTGTTACTTTCTTTATACGGAGTATAAAACTGAAAACATAACACATTGTTTCCCACCAAATTAGACTTATTCGCCTTCTATTTAGAGTCTTTTTTATTAGAACCAAATAAATCTTATTTTAGGAAGAAAGTATAATACTCCATCTGTCCCTAAATAAACATGAAACATCCCACTTTTCTTGTAGGTCCGTCTTTTAAAAAACCCCATTGTTTTATGGTAAACAAAACAATGCAAAACACTGTAAAACAATGTCATCAAACAATGTGAAAACAATACAAATAGTGTCACTTTCCTAAATTGTGTGTAATTCAAAATGGCACTTTTGAATAGAGACGGAAGAGTATACAATAATAATATTTTAGAACTTCATTTGTATTTTTCTCTATTTTTAGCAACATCTCTAAATTTTAAATATATCTAAGATATTTCGAGCCAATGCCAATCCATTTATTCGACAATTATCACAATATCAACAAACTAAGCTCATTCAGTCATTCAAGTCAGATCCACACCGCTCAAACAGGTTCTAACAAGCTACTCAAATGAAAGAAGATGAAATAATTGCTCCACAACGGGTAACAAGTGACTTTAATTACCTTAGTGTTTCACTTGGAGGACATATCATGTTACCTTGTTGATGGTATGTCACAAGACCTCCATTATTGGATGAGATCATGAGGCTCCTCTTTCTGTAAAAAGCAACAACCACTTGAACTAATCCTGTGATTAAACTTCCTTTGGGCTTTGACCTCACATAGAATGGAGAACCCAAGAGGATGAAAATAGTAGCAAATAGCATAAGCAAGGCAAGGATTCCAAAACCAACTTCCCATCCCATTTTCTCTTGGACATAGACCAAACAAGTCAAGGAAATGATAAGGGATACCGTTTTAACAACATAATAACAGCCAAAGAAGCTTTCCATTGCTCTCCCATCATTTCGGATATTCTTTAACTGATCAACTCCAAATGCCAAGGAAGAAGCTTTTACTCCTCCTTCACCAATGGATATAAGGATAAAGGAGAGGTATAAAAGAAGAAGCTGCAGAGTTGTTGCAGAAGGGCAAATGATGTTAAATTCAGTGCAAGGAGGCGGCCTTGCTTGTGGTATAATAGTTGTTAGCCAAAACAGAAGTATACCCTGCCAAAAAGAATATGAATTTCAATTGAAAAAAATCCCACTACCCTTTTCACTGTGAAGAAACAAAAAACACAATCACTACCTTTCTCTTACATAGATGTTTTTAAAGTTATTTTTAAATTGATTAAGAAATAGCATTGGAGGGTAGTTTTAGCAAATGTTTTATCCGTCAATACTACGAAAAACAAACCAAGAAATCTTAGGTGTCTACTCAGGAATTGCACATATATAGGGGTATTGAACTCGATTGGCACTTGGCACAAAGATTTTATTTTGACATTGGTACAAGATAGAGCGACATGAATACCAATAAAAATGAGTTAATGTGATTGATATTGAATTGATAAAATAAAAATAAAATAATAATGATTTAGAACAACACAAATTTTACTAAATTTGACATGAGACAATCTTAGTGAGATGTATGGTTTAATAACTGAAAAAATTGGGATGAGCCGTGGCCTAGCTGGGCTAGCCCCCACCTCCAGCATTGCACATACGAAGCCTCATCCACTATGGGAGGTCATTGGGGATTTAAAAAAATTGATCCCACTTGATCCCCACTATGGGGGGCCAAGGAAGTGATCGATCAAAGTGGAAGGTCTAGAATAGGATCTCACAAAATTTTTGTGACTAACCAATTAAAAAAGGCTATGTGGCTTTTTATTTAGAATAAGAAGTTCGGATGGCTTCTCTTCCCCATCAAGATACCATCAACTTCATCAAATATCCCCCAACTCCCTAATTTCATTTATTACTCATTAAATTTAATTTATTGTAAAAAAATACCAAAAATTAGATTTTTCCTCTATAAATAGACACCAATAAAGGATATGTTTAGTCACTTCGAAATTTATCACTTCTTTCCCTCTTGCATCTTATTTATCTATTTTAGAATATATTTTTCTCTAAAAAATGACCCAACACGTTCTGTATCTAGATACAATACCAACAATAAATAGTTATAGTGGGTCAAATGTGGATTTTATATTCCCTTTTCAAATTATATAAATTAATAATTGTTGAATATAGCAAGAAAATGGAAAAAGAATGTACAAATTTTAAGTGACCTAGGTCACCATAATAGGGAGAAAGTGTGATACGTTAGATGAGATTAACTTTTTGATGGGAAAGACGTGGAAGAGAGAGGAGGTGGTCAAAAGTCATCAACATTGTGGATCCGCTAATTCCTCTCCCTATGGTTTTTATTTTTTGACTTCTCTTACCTCTGATTACGTGCAAAATGATGATGTGGATAAGAAATTTTTGGGTCACATATATAAAATTCTGATGGAGACATGGAGGATTTTTTCCAAAAATTATAACGATTTGATTTATTCAGGATTAAGGTACCACAATGGATGAATAAAAGTAATAGAGGTATTATTTATGAATAACTCCGCCAGAATTCGAAAAGCTCAGAAAATACTTTGTGAAAGCTTAACAAATATTGCGTTTAATTAGGGAAAATCATACCTTCAATCCTCAAATATCCGCACATTGAAATGTAGGATGTTTTTACTTGGATTGTAATTTGCTGGTCTGGTCTGGTCTGAATTGGTCTGGTCTGGTCTGGTTTGGTAAGGTATGGTTTCTTTGTATTTTTATAACTATACAAGTCTGATCTAGTCTGGTCTGAACTGGACTGGTCTGGTCTGGTCTGGGACAAATTACAGTCCAAGTAAAAACATCCATAGTCCCCATGCTTTCAAATTTGTGTCACCCCTCACTTATATTTATTATTATAAATGTGGTCCTCGTTGTTAAATCTAAACTAACATCGTTAAATTTAATAACTTTTGACACGGTCAGAGTTCTAACTTTGCACACAGTCAAAAAGTTATACTCTTTGTCCCAAATTTATTTGCAAAGTCAACATTTTTTTGTCAACCAATGTTAAAGTTAAATCCTACTTCTTGATAATTTATTCATGTTCAATAATTAAAATTTATATATTCAGAAACTATATTAAAATCTCTTCAAAGTTGCAAACTCCAAATTATAGTATAATAAAAAATTGACATCTAAATTAAGTGAATAAAATAATAGTGTTTGACAAAAAAATCAAATTTGCAAATCAACTTGGGACTGAGATAATACAATTTTAAAAACTCTTCCCCTTGATAATTTTGTCTCTAATGGTACACTACAGATAAAAAGTGTCAATTGAAAATCCAAATTTATAGGCAATAAATGTTCGACAGAGATAATAAAACCCAATGCGGGCAAAAAATGTTAGAGTATCATTTTTGTACATATATTGTCAAAATGCTTTGCACCTGCAATTGTTTCGGTAAAGTAGGCCATGGACAATAGTGTGGGTCAAAAAAATCTAATGTTTACGGACAATAAGAAGTCTAGCACATATAGAAAAAATCAAACAAGCTAAAAAGTTGTATAACTTTTGTGCAAATTTTAAAAATCTTTCATATTAGCAGTTTTTTTGTATATAATGTTAGGCCACACTTAAAACATATCAGTAAACATTATATTTTATTGACAATAAATGTATGCACACATAACACTATTTTTACTGAGCCGAATATATAACTTTTGTACACATTTTCAAGTCATATTATCTAGCACTAAATATTTGGAACTAGCAATGCCAATAAATGTTTGACATTGACAAGAAAGGTTGAATTTGTAGACCATCATTTTTTCATTCACATAACTTAATTAGTTAATTTCCAAGAAAATCATTGGTGCGAAGGATTTTGAATAATAGATCCGGGAAAGGGCTTACCAAAAGGTTAATAATGGACCCAATGGTAATCATCTGAAACCGACCCACAAAAGAATCTGCCATTAAAGCTCCAACAACGGGAGTGATATGTGTAGCTGCTTTCCACCAATATAGCACATTTGAGCCAGTGGCCATATCCATTCGATACTCCCTCATCAGATAGAGTATCATATTCGGAGTTAACCCACAATTAGCCATTGTCATCAATGCCAAATTTCCTGTCCATTATCCACATTAAAGCAAGATGAATATTCGCATCGAATATCTTTGTCCTATCTTTTAAAATAATAAATTAGAGGTCATACTATTTCACACTCCTCTACACACATTTCAACATTACAACTCAATGTGTAAATCAAAGTTGATTAGCTTTTATGAGAGTAAATAGTACAAGTTGACAACTTAATAAAACTAGCTCATGCTTTCTTCATTTTTAGAAAACTTTCTACAGATTATAAAACATAAACTTAATAACAAAATAAGCTCAACTTTTGTTTAAACATATGTTTCAAAACTGCTTTAAGGGTTGGTTTGCAACCACTTTAAAAAAGCACTTCTCAACTTTTGACTTTAAAAAAACACTTCTTTTACCAAACACTACAACTTTTATTTTTCTCGGCTTTCTTGTCAAAAGTGTTTTTACTTTTTCTATTACACAAAAAACACTTATTTTACCAAATACTATCAACTTTTACTTTTCAAAATCATTTTTTTTCTCAAACACTATCAACTTTTATTTAATCACTTCTCCCAATTTCATTAAAAAAGCACTTTTTTAAAGTAGAAGCTGTTGCAAACAGACCCTAATTGATACAATAGTCAAACTTTGCTATAAATGACGGCTGATGACTTTTCTAGATCGCAACCATTTCTTCAAAGGTACGTGAAGATCAATGGCGAAGATTCTCTCTAGAATTAGGTTGTGTTCTATTTGGTTGAGCAAATAATGTGGATCTCACTAGAACGCATGCAAATGGAGTCACAGCCCGTGATGGTGTGAATCATGAAGACAATCAACGTTTAAAATTGAATCTCCTCTATGAACTAGAGATATCCAACAACCAAGGTCTTCAAATACAAAGTAACCGTGGATTTGTAAACGGTGTGTATCTAGCTTAGTAAGAAGAGAAAGTGTTAATCAATGACCAGTCTTCTTAGTTCACCCATACTTTTTAAGCTCCGAAAATATAAATAAATAGTTGTAGAGCTTATTTAGTTAGATATTTAGTATCTCACTAATCTAAACTCATTGTAACACTCAAGAGGGTTTTGAAGATCAACTCTTGAGTGGTAGAACATAGGACTGAGTAACTTTGGACAAATCCACACTCTTAGTGTAACACGAGTAGGACTAAGTAACTTGGAGTGATGTTTGCCCCTTGTGAATAAACTCTCCACTCTAGGCCGACTTCGTGATCAAGGCAAGACTAGGACCTAAGTGTATTGGTGATAATAACGAATTCAATTGAAAGAGGGTGAAACTAGAAGTAGAAGCTAAGGATTACATCATCTTTAAACCTGGATATATCATTGTATATTTACTCTTCAGCTCACACATCACCACACCCACAATCATCCTTAGGCTAATTAAAAAAACTCGTTCAAACAGTTTGATAACTGATCAACAGACTACATTGACATAAAAGTGTTCTATATATATACCCACTTTACTCAATATTAGTGCTGTTCAAACTACTACTGCTTAAAGTTCCATTATGCATCTCTAAAATATTCCACTTATAAACTGAAATGGCTTAAAGTATTTATAGATATCAGACGTCTTCTCTATCTAAAACGCTTTACACCAGTCTGTTGAACATGCTTGCTAGTTGCTACAAATTTATAAACACTTTCTAATATTGTTTAATTCATCATTCAATTATACTTAAAAGACCATAATTCTTAAAGGATTTATTGTGCTTCTTTTTAAGAATGATTATTAATTCATCATTCAGATTAGGTCCTTCGCTGACAAGCTGTTAAATCTCTCAAAGGATTTAATAATCATTCTTAAAGAGGGTCGAAAAACATTTAAGAGTTTAATAGTTTATACATCTCCTCTAGACGTTTTACCCATATCTGGGATCATCAACCCATACGTAACATTCAATAGAAGTCAAATAATCGCATATCTTAGTCATGTTTGAATAGAAGGTAGAATAATAAAGTAAAAGTTACGTATATAGTTAAAGTTTATGCAAAGAAGAAAGAAATAACAAGAATCACAAAGACACGTCAAAGTGAAAGTGGAATGTATTTCGGGACAAACAAAAAGTGAAAACTAACACGTAACACGTTAATAGGCGCAAAGGGATCACCATACACACACACACACACACACATATATATATATTTGTGGAGAGGAAAATTTTTATTGATAATGGAAAAAAGTACGGAGTACAATGCAAGGAAAAAAGAAAAATGAAAAAGGAAAGGAACCAAAAAACAAATATGCTTTGCTAAGGAACCTAACAAATCAATACAAAGCGTGCTGAATCTTGGATCTTGAATCCTGGATCACTATATTTTCAGTTTCACTAATATTTAATTCAACTTATTTCATCCCAAGACTAAATTTGATTAAACCCTATAATACCATATTTTGTTCCCAAACTTTTTAGTCAACTTACACACAATCATACTCAAATTGACACTATTAAAATAGACTTCAATAATAATAAAACACACATAATATTAGGGGTGGATAGACATCTGATTTTCGTTGTCCCAATCCTAAAAATCAGGTAGCGACCGGGTCGACATTACTTTTTGATATGTGGGTTATAGTAGTCAATGGCGTAAATGGCGATCTCCATTTCTCGCCTTTGGCATTCAGGGGGTCTTCGCCACAAATTTTGGCTATGGCGCAGGGGTTACATGTTGCGTTGCGAAATGTGCGCTATCGCCTCGCTCTCGCCATTTTGCGCCAAATAATGGCGCTATCGCACGCGTTTGGGTCGCGACTTCGGTTTGATGGTCGTCGTCGCTGTAGCTGGTCGCCGTCGTCGTCATTGTACCTGGTCGCCGTCGCAGTCGCTGTACCTGGTCGCCGTCGCTGTAGCTGGTCGTGTGGCTGTCGATTGTTGCTGAAATTGGTGGCCGACTCTAATCGCTTGTCATCCATGGGACCACGCAGACTGCTTGCTTCGTGGTTTTAGTTCTTCTCTTTTTTGAGATTGAAGTCTGGCAAAATTACTTAAAAGCCTTTCTCTAAAACCCGTTCTCTTTTTTTTGGTAAAGTTAAAAGCAGACAAGCAGTTCTCTGTTTCTCTTTGTTTTTCACACGCTCTCATTTTTTGTGGGCCAGTTGACTGGAAGGTTGGACCATATCAGTTATTTAATTTAATTTGGAATATTTTTTGGTGCTATTTTGACTATTTAAAAATTTAACTCTTTAATTGGTGTATAAGTCATACACGTATATTGTGTATAGGTAATGTTTAAATTTTTTTTATGTTGTGTTTTACTGGTGCGCCATTTTAGCACCATCGCCATTCTAGGGGTGGATTTTATGTTTATCTTGTCCCAAATCCTATCCACCTCAATAATGTACTCTCACGTCTCATAAAATTTGGGCAAATTTTGTTTTTGTTCGTCCCAAAAAACTTTGTCATTTCCATTAAAAGTAAGAAATATGTGAATAAAGTTATTTTTCTCTCCACTGCACAAATTTCAACTACACAGTTTTTACTTTATTAATATTCGTTCAAGTCAACTTTCTTGAATTAATATTAAAATTAAACTAAGGAGGTGTTTACTTCGCTGCTAAAGTCACAGTTAGGTTAACAATACAGGTCAAGTGAACACACAAGTTGCTTAAAAAGCTGCTTCCTAATCGAAAGAGGTGCTTAAAGTTCCGCTTACTAAGCATACCACCTGTTCACCTACATGTATTAATTAAACGGCACTTTAAGCTTTTTCAGTTTCCAAATTTACCCTTTCCTTTACCCTATTGTTACCCCTCTACCCACTAGCCCTCTACCCTACCCTAACCCTACCTTACCCTGACACCACCCCGACCCTCTACCCCTGACCCCCATACCCCCACCCCCACGTATCCCCCTACCTCTTTACCCCTACCTTGGCCCCACCCTGACCCCACACCCTACCCTACCCCTAGCCCTTACCACCCAACTCCAACCCTTGCCCTACCCCTAGCCCTTACCACCTACCCCACCCCCACCTGTAACCCTACCCCGACCCTACCCCTTTACCCCCTACCACATGCCCCTACCTCGGCCCCACCCCGACCCCACCGTAGCCCTTACCACTCTACCCACCCCCACCGTCCCATAACCCCCCTTTACCCTACCCCGACCCTATTCCTTTACCCCTACTACAGGCCCCATCCAGCCCCACATTCTACCCTACCCCCTACCACTCTACCCCACCCCCACCCCACCCCGTAAACCCCGACCCTACCCCCTACCTCGGCCCGACCCCACTATACGCCATCCTACCCCCACCCCTACTCTACCCTCAGCCCTTACAACCCTACACGACCCCCCATATGTGTGTCTATATATGTATATGGTTATTTGGGACATTTTAATGTTAAACGATGTTTTAAATCCTTTGAAGTAAACATGAGCTTACAGCACTGCTTATTTTATGCACCACTTATTAACGCGAGTCTTAATAAGCACCGTATAGTAAACCGTGAAGTAAACATGTCCTAAGTCTAATTAGTTATAAATACAACGTATTTGTTACATGTTAATGCATTTTGGGAAAAAAATTTAAAAGCTTGGATCGAAGATAGAACCGATATGTTCCCGGTTTGAATCCGATATGGACTGACAGGTCCGGAGCCATCTGATTTTCCTGTCTGGACCAGAATATGGTCACCCTCACACAAGTTGATGAGTATGATGACTGGGGTCCAAATTTTGATAAAGTAACAATATGGATTAAGGAATCTTAGACTAGATGAATAATAATTATACTGGACATAAACATTAACTAACTAGATAGGCTAAAATGAAAAATGGAAAAAATTATAGAAGTGGAATTTTAGTCCACCATCGACCCAACTTATAAGTTTAAATCCTCCCGGAGCGATTTAAATATTTATAATGAGACTATCTGAGTTTCATTCGTAAATTCAATTTTATAAGAGAGGTAGTTAAAGCTTTTTATGTTACCTCAGAGTGAGCTATGTTACCTCAGAGTGAGCTATGTTACCTCAGAGTGAGCGAGATAGCAATAACAGGCATTATTAGGGTATGAATGGTATGATATAACTAATGAACTGATTGGGATTTGGGATTATTATTGGAGAAGAATTGAAGAAAAATCCAATTTGTCACAAATGCAAGCTAAGTTCATTATTTCAGAAAATTGTCTTCCGACCGACAACATGAACAATCAACTAAAAATCTATAATAAAACTCAGAAGAATAAAAGACGTCACAGCATGAGGATCATATCACAGTCCAAACTTAACAATTCCCCTCGGTATAGTTTTTAGTTTATATTCCTTCCTCTTTGTACTGTTGTGTTTTTCTTTCTTTGTGTATCGATCATTTTCGCACTGCACCAGTTATTATTTTTTATCGTCACTGTACCAGTTATTTCTAATCAATGAAATTTCACTTTTCTCAAAAAGAAAAAAAAAAGAGTGTCACAAAAAAATGATTGCAATAATATGAAATATATTATTATTACCAGCAATGAAGGGCATGGTTCTGAAGCCACCTTTTGGGGCGGGAGAAGCTTCCAGGAGAGGCTGCAGTTTCTCTTCTTCTTCCGCCATTTTATCCTTCTTTTCCTCTGATGGGAAAACTCCCATACCACAGAAGTTTAAGAACTTATTCAGTTTCTTTCTGGAATGATATACACTAACTTCAAGAAGCTAATTATAAGGAGAAGAAGCAGGCATCGACAGTGAGGGATTTATATATAATTTAACTACTACGTACTTCGTAATGATTAATTGGACTTTTAGCCGATTAATTTTCGTGTCGTATTTACACAAGTCCAATGAATATTTGACTTATTAAGAGCATGATCGGTTTGAGATTGAATTTTGAATTTCTGTGTCCCTTCGAAAAATACCCATTGTTTTTGTTTTTTGACAACAAAAAATACCCATTGTTAGTTAGCCCAGTTCTCAGGAATGTCTAGATGCTCCCCCTTCCCTGTTCTTTTTGTCCAAAATTAAAAATTACTTTTTAGATTCTCACACGTACTTCATATTTTTATCATTACAAACCTTACAAAACAAACATCAAGAACCAATGGGACAATATATTTCTCATGAACCGCACATGATCTAATTACATTTTTTTATCAAAAAATACAATTAAATTAATCGATTCTTTTTTACATTTTTAGCATGAGCCGTACATGTATTGTCACCCGTGCGTTGCACGAGATGCATGGATGTTGTCATTAAATAATACTCCCTCCATTAAAAGATCCTCCCACTTTAAAAGTAGAAAGATTATAAATAGTAAAATGAGATTAATTTTTGAGACTATGATGAAAAGATAGTAAATTAAATAGCATAATGGATTGAAAGATAAATCCAAAAAAGTACTCCGGAGTTGTAATGGGTGTATTATTTTCAAAATTAATGAATGTATGATGAGAATATTTAGAAATGAGATATCTTTTTCATTACAGATGAAAAAGGAAAGTGAGAAAAACTTTTTGTTGGCATTTGTGGAAAGTATACTCTAAAAATCTAAAATTATTTGGGACTGGGATAACAGTGTCCCTTCTCCTGAGTATATAATGTAAATAACTTGAATTCTCATTGATCAAAACTCAGGAGCTACATGTGTATTTAAGCTATAAGAGATAGAGATATTACAACTCAACGACGTACAATCAGTTAGATTGGATATACACGAATACATATGATATGCACTAATTAGTAGTGCATAAGTGTATGTTTTTATGTTTGATTTGTGTGTATTATTTATCGTTTTATTTAGTTTGTAAACATTTGTGTGATTTTAGTTGTAATTGTATTTTAATCTTCATTTATAAGTTGTAAAATAGATTTAGGATTTATGGTGTTGGAAAAGAGGACTTTGAAGAGAATAAAACAACAAATTTGACTGCCCAGGAGCAAAACCCGACCGGGTAGAAATCTCCACCCGGTCGGGTAAGATTTAACAACCGAAGAAGCAAGGAAATTGCCAGACCCGGTTGGGTCCCCTACTTGACCCGGTCGGGTCAGATGTGACCCGGAACACCAGAACATGCCGAAGATCGCCAGAACGTGGGAAATATTTGATTTTGACATTTACCTGGTCGGGTGGGCACTTGATCCGGTCGGGTAAGTGCCCCAGGGTGTTGAAAACACCTATAAATAGCCCCATTTTCCTTCACTTTTCATCATCCCTTCTTCCATACTCTTAAGCTCAGTTTAGAATAGTATTTCTTTTACATTATTATAGCATATTTAGTCTCCAAATGAGGAGCTAAACTTCCATTTCTTGGTGTTGCTCTTGAAGCTTGTTGATTATTAAAGTCGTGAGTTATTTTCTTAACTTCTTCCCTTGAATATTAATTATTCTCTTAATCTATCTATATATTAATGTTGGGGAGTGTTGCTAAAATGACAAATAGTTAACATCTCGACATTAGTTATAGTAGTATTTATTTTCTTCTTCTATATATTAATGTTGGGGAGTGTTGCTAAGATGACAATTGGATAACATCTTGACATTAGTTATAGTAGGATTATTCATATTTAATCTTCTTCCTTGAATATTAATTCTTCCCTTAATCTATCTCTATGTTAATGTTGGGGAGTGTTGCTAAGATGACAATTAGTTAACATCTCAACATTAATTACTACTAGAAACGTTCAACGAACCGATGGTTAATCGTTGATGGTTTCACAAGTAAGTAACTTCGGTTTATTAATGCACGGTCGTGGTTAATAAACTTAAGAGGGATTAATTTTGTTGGTTAAACTGAAACCGTTGTGTTGAGGTTATCAATCTCAATTGATTTCATCAAGGAGTTAAGAGATTAAATGCTACTATCAAGTCGGTATATGGCGGTGTTCTATACTTGACTAATAGTAAGGGTTATTAATGAACGGTCATTGTTAATAACTACCCTCGATGAATTGGATATACTCCTCGATTGAGTATTCGAGAGGGGATAAGTTATAGATATAACAATGATCGACTAAAATATATAAGCAAGTGGAAAGTAGCAATGCCAAGTCCTTTTTATCTTTGAATTAAATCTCATATAAGTCATTCATCTTAGTATTTAATTAATTAAATTCCAACAATACCAAAACCCCCTTTTATTTACTAGTTCATAAAAAGAGAATTATTCATTTCCTTGTGGATACGAACTCTACTTCACTATACTACGTATTAGTGCTAGTATTGAATTTATTTTGACGCACCGTGACAAAGTGCACGTCAACATACAATTGGATATACATTGAAATAATAATAATAACAAATAACTAAGAGTAATGTTTATCCTTTATATGCCCCGCAAGATAGAGGATCCATCGGAGACGCCAATCTTGGACCGAAACTGAAGAAAGGAGGCGCGTCCTAAAGGCTCGGTGAGAACATCCGCCCGTTGAAGCTTGGAAGGAACATGCTGAACAGAGAGCCATTCATTACCAGATCACGTACAAAAAAATAATCCATCGAGACATGTTTCATACGGGAGTGAAACACTGGATTTTTGCATATATATTGTGCACTAAGACTATCATTAAATAATAGGGGAGGTAGGGTTAACGGAACCCGAAGCTCGTCCATTAAGTGTTGTATCCAAATAACTTCAGCCGTGGTATTGGCAATGGCATGATACTCCGCCTCAGTGGAGGATCGAGAGACAGATTTCTGAAGACCAAATTTCCAGGAGATAACATCTGATCCAAGATAAATGATATAAGCGGTGGTGGAGCGGCCTGAAGTCGTGGTGCCACCCCAATCGGCATCACTAAAGGCTGTGAGATGCAAACCAAAGGCAGTACGTAAAAAACCCATGAAATATTGTTCCCTTGAGATGCAAAGGAGATACCCATTTGGCAGCAAGCCAGTGACCTACCAGTGGTCCATGCATATTGAGAAAGCCGGTTGACTAGAAAGGAAATATCAGGACGAGCAAGTCCAAGATATTGTAGTAAACCAAGGAGATGACAATAATCGGAGATGTCAATAGCCTTGGAAGGATCCGCAGGAGGAAGACGTTCATTAGAAGCCATAGGAGTGGGGACCGGTTTAGCACCATCCATATGAAACTTGGCCAATATATCAGAAATATAGTGAGACTGAGATAGAAACATACCCGCAGCAGTAGTAATGACTTCAATACCCAAAAAATGATGAAGTGCTCCCAAATCTTTTAGGGAGAAGCGAGCAGCAAGCATAGAGATGAATCGAGTCAAAAAATTGGTATCATTCCCCAAAACAATATCATCCACGTAGACAAAAAAAAAAGACAATAATACCTCGGGAATTATAGATGAATAAGGACGAATTTCCCCCTTGATTTATGAAAACCAAGTTGAACTAAAAATGTGGATAATTCAACATACCATGCCCGAGGGGTCTGTTTCAAACCATATAGAGCTTTACGTAATCGACAAACATGATTAGGATGTTGAGGATCAATATATCCCGGCGGTTGATCAAGATAGACTTCCTCATCAAGTGTGCCGGTGAGAAACGCCTTATTAATGTCCAGTTGACGAATAGACCATCCCTATTTTAAAGCCAAAGTAAGAATAATACGTATCGTAACAGGTTTCATGACCGGACTGAAAGTTTCCGAATAATCACGACCGGCTTCTTGAGAGTAGCCCTTGGCTACAAGGCGAGCTTTATAACGGTCAATAGAGCCATCGGATTTGCGTTTGATACGAAAATTCCATTTGCAACCAACTTTGATATTCTGTGTTACTTTATTTATTTATTTGTTTGTTTGTTTGTTTGTTTGTTTGTTTGTTTGTTTGTTTGTTTGTTTGTTTGTTTGTTTGTTTGTTTGTTTATTTTTTTATTTATTTATTTAAGTAGAATGTATTGTGGGCTTACTTGATCACCCAAAAAGCATTACAATAACTTCTGGGAAACAGTGAAAAATTTACACGCATTATACTTGTAGAATGTATTGTGGGCATTCACTATTTTTTCGCTTGTGAATATGATGGAACAAAGCAAAATGACTCACTAAACTGTCTGCGCTTTTTTGTTATGAAGCAGCAGTCAGCTCATGCAATTTCCAACGTGATTTTCACCAGAGGTCATCTAAAAACAATCTCTTTGTGCTTTAGTACAGGAGTAAGATGGCGTACATCCGACCCCCTTACCCCACCGTAGGTGGGAGCCTTTGCGGCACTGAGGTAATCATGATGATGATTATACTTGATGCCTAAACCGGCACATTGCATATATTTACTCCATACACAGAGGGAAAAGGAAAAATATTTTTTAAGGGTGGGTCGGTTCAACTAAAGAGCCTAAAGAGAAAAGAATATAGTACTTCAAGTTACAAAGCAGCCTTAGCAATCTGAAGAGTGGTGAAATATGGCACACCCTTGTACAAGGCCATCACAAGAAGCCCATTTATGCGCCTATGGGTAGCCTGATAGAACACTGATAGAATTCAATTCAGAACAATAACAATTCTAAGAAATCCAAACTAAGAATAGATCGAAGAGTTTATTGAGTAGAGAAGAACTGAAAATAGGTGACTGATACAATGGATCATTCGAGATGCCCAGTCTCCAAACCTAGCCAAATCCAACTGAACATTTGCCTCCCTCCTCCTTTCCTCCTTCCTTACTATTTATAGTACTTTTATTTCATTAAGGGCTGGCCCATTATACCTGATTTACTGAATGGGGCCCAGAATATTCACTTATACACTATTACACTTTAATTTTATTCTAGTATTAGTATGATTATCTAAGTTCTTATCAATACTCCCCCCTAAACAACCACCTTGTCCTCAAGGTGGGTGATAGGGATCAGCTATGATCTTCCACTTCCACTTCATTCTTGCACCCCTCCTTTCCCAATATATCCCAAATTGTTCGGCCATGACCTTGATTACTTCTGT